AGGGTAATATGCTAATTAGACTGGGAGACCTTCCAGGAGACCTTCCGGACGTTCTTCTGGACAAAGCCATGGTGGCAGGGCCGAGGTAGAGGCGGTTAGAGGCCAAGAGGGGAGGGCAGTTGTGGGTGATCAGGCCAGGATGGGATGGCTGTTGTGGGTGATCAGGCTGGTGGGAGGGGCCATTGTGGGTGATCAGGCCGGCGGGGGAGGCAGTTGGGGGTGAGCAGACCAGCAGGGGGGCCAGTTGGGGGTGAGCAGGCCGTCAGTGGGGGTCAGTTAGGGGTGATCAGGACTGTGTGGGGGCAGTTTGGAGTGAGCAGGCCACTGGGGGGACAGTTGGTGAGCAGGCCGGCAGGGGGGGCAGTTGGGGGCGAGCACACTGGCACAGGGGGCTGTTGGGGGTGATCACGCTGGCGGAGGGGGGGCATTTGGGGGCAAGCAGGCCAGCAGGCAGAGTGGTTAGGGGCAATCAGGCAGGCAGGCAGGTGAGCAGTTAGGAGCCAGCAGTCCCAGATTGTGAGAGGGATGTCTAACTGCCGGTTTAGGCCCGATCCCTGTAAACCGGCAGTAGGACATCCTTCGAGGAGTCCCAGATTGGAGAGGGTGCAGGCCAGGCTGAGGGACCCTACCCCCCATGTACGAATTTCGTGCACCAGGCCACTAGTCCTATATAATAAAAGGCTAATATGCAAATTGATCAAATGGTGGAATGACCCGTTGCTTTGACGCACACTGACCATGAGGGGGCAGATGCTCAATGCAGGAGTTGCCCCCTCGTGGTCATTGCACTCCCACAGGGGGAGCTCCACTCAGCCAGAAGCTGGGCTTACGGCTAGGGAGTGCAGCGGCGGTGGCGAGAGCCTCTCCCGCCTCCACAGCAGTGCTAAGGATGTTCGACTGACGGTTTAGGCCCGCTCCTGAGCAGGCCTAAGCCGTCAGTCAGACATCCTGAGGGCTCCCAGACTGCAAGAGGGCACAGGCCAGGCTAAGGGACCCCTCTGAGTACACAAATTTCATGCGCTGGGCCTCTAGTTGTAAATAATGCTGCTATAAACATAGGGGTGCATATATATTCTTTTGAATTCATGTTTCAGATTTCTTTGGATATATTCCCAGAAGTGGAATTGCTGGATCATAAGGCAGGAATCATGCTAACTGATATCAAACTACACTACAAAGATATAGTAATCAAAACAGCATGGTACTGGCATAAAAACAGACATATAGATTAGTGGAACAGAATAAAAAGCCTGGAAATATGTCTCATTTTTTTATTATCAGGGTTTCACATGACTAAACCTGATATGATCCGAAAGTTGGAAGAAGGAAAAGAACTATGGACAACAGAGAGAATTTTTTCAAGTCAGAGTTATTTAGGTGAGTCTGTACAGATAAAGACCAGTGAACTCAAGTAGTTGACATCTTTGAATGTTTTTAGGGATATATATGTTTTTTAATTGTGGTAAAATACATAAAATTTACCATCTGAACTATTTTTAAGCATATAGTTCAGTGGCATTAATGCAATTATTACTACCATCTATCTCCAGAAATATTTTCATCTTGCAGAACTGAAACTCTGTACTCATTAAACAATAACTCCCATTTCCCCCTCCCCTTTGGCTCTGGCAACCACCATTCTACTTTCTATCTTTGTGCATCTGACTACTTGTAGGTACTTCATGTAACAGAAATCATATGGTATGTGTCCTTTTTTGCGACTGATTTATTTAATTTAATATAATGTCCTCAAGGTTCACCCATGTTGTAGTATGTATGTCCTTTTGAAGGCTGAATAATATTCCTTTGTATGTACATACCACAATTTGTTTATCCATTCATCTGTCAATGCTCACTTGGATGGCTTCCACCTTTTGGCTTCTGTGAATAATACTGCTACAAAAGTGGGTGTTGAGTCACTGTTTCCAGTTCTCTTGGGTATAAAACCAGAATAGAGTTGCTGGATTATACAGTAATTCTGTTTAATTTTTTGAGGAACTGCCATGCTGTTTTCCATAGTGGCTGCACAACTAAACGTTCCCACCAGCAATGTATAAGGGTTCCAGTTTCTCCACATCTTCACCAACACCTATTATTTTCTGGTGTTTTTGTTACTAGCCATCTTCCTAAGGCTTGAGATCTTTGAAGAGCCTATACATGATTGCCTTCCATAGCTCTATAGTCTAAATTTAGTTTGAATATCATTCCCCATGTAAGTGCTTTCTTTGTTGCCTTAGTGCAGACAGATACTAGTTGCTATTACCTTACCAAGAATTCACTCCATGTTTGTAGGTATAAAGTACATAGAGATCTTAAGTGTTAAGCTCTTTGAGTTCTGAGAGGAATAAAAGCCATGTATCTCATGCCCCAGTCAAAATAAAGGACACTTCCATTAGCCTATTATATTCCATCAAGCCTCTTCCAAGTCAGTCCCTCCCACTAGGACAATCACAGTTGTGATTTCTACCAGCATAAGTTAGTTTTGTCTATTCTAGATCTTTTTCATGCATACTTTCTTTCACTCTGCTTAATGTCTGAGAGATTTATACACATTTTTGCATGTATAAGTAGTTTATTTTAATAGTAGAATAGTATTCAATTATATGAATTCACCAGTTTATTTATGTCTCTCCTAATAATAGACATTTGAAATGTTCCAGTTTGGGGCTATTGTGAATAAATTACTGTGAACATACTCTAATGCACTTTTATGGACATGTATGTACTTCTCAGTAGAAACCTAGCAGTTGATATTGTTCATTCAAAAGGCAGTATAAATTTCACTTTTTTAAGAAACAGTCAGTTTTTAAAAGTTACTACACCATTTTAAACTTTTACCAGCAATATATGAGAATTTTGATTGTTATCAATATTTTCATTTTGGTCATTCTGAAAGATATGGAAGTATATTTTTGCAGTCAGTTTATATTGAAAACCTTTTCAAGTGCTTTTAATATCTTCTTCAGAGGGGCCTATTTAAATGTTTTACCCATTCCTTATTGAGTAATATATTTTTACCTTGAATAATAGGAATTTTTTTATGTAGTCTGGATAGAAGTATTTTGTTATAGGTATTGCAAAAATTCCTCTAGTCTGAGGCTTGCCTATTCATTTTAATGGTGTCTTTCAATGAGCACAAGTTTTTAACTTTGATGAAGTCCAGTTTATTATTTCATTTATTATTATTTCTTTGACCTATCAAACAAATATTTGTCTTCTCCCGGGTTGTGAAGATAGTTCTCTGTATTTTCTTTTAGAAATGTTAGTTCTGTGGCCCACCTCATGTTAGGAGTTGTTTATAATGTAAAGTAAGGGTAGATAGTCTGTTTTCTTTCATATGGATATCAATTTGTCTCATCACTTGTTGAATGTAATTGCTCTCTTAATCTTATCATAAATTGTTTGTGTCAGTCTATTTTTAGACTATTCTTTCCTTTGATATGTTTTAAGTCCTATTATCAATGCTATGTGGTCTTTGATTATTTTAGCTTTATTATACGTCTTTGTTAAAAATATGTTTTTATTGATTTCAGAGAGGAAGGGAGAGGGAGAGAGAAATAGAAACATCAACGATGAGGGAGAATCATTAATCAGCTGCCTCCTGCATGCTCCCTACTGGGAATAGAGCCTGAAACCCGGGCATGTACCCTGACCGGGAATGGAACCATGATTTCCTGGTTCATGGATTGGCGCTCAGCCAAGCTATAATAAGTCTTGAAGTCAGACTAAGTCCTCTAACTTTCTTCTTTTTAAAAATGTTTTGGCTATTCTAGGTCATTTTCTTTTTAAAATACATTTTAAAATCAATTTGTAGATTCCTTTAAATAAATGTGCTAGGATTTTTATTGATGAAAACTAACATTATAGCAATATTGTCTTTCAGTCCATCATTATACCTTTCCATTTGAGTTAATTCTCTAATTCTTGTACAGTTGTTTATTATTTTTAGTGTATTAGTCTTTTGTATCTTTCATTAAGTTTATCTCAAAGCTTTTAATATTTTTTAAAATTTTATTGTTTATTTTTCAATTACAGTTGACAAACAATATTATATTCATTTCAGGTGTATAAGATTAGACATTTATGTAAAGTACAAAGGAATCAACCTGATAAGTTTAGTACCCATTTGACATAATGTAAAGTTATTATAATATTACTTATTTTTAAAATAAAAATATTATTTATTTGTATTACTTAATAATATTTTATTTTTAAATTATAGTTGACATTCAATATTACATTAGTTTCAGGTGTACAACATAGTAATTAGACATTTATATAACTTACGAAGGGACCTTCCCAATAAATCTAGTACCCATCTAACACTATACATAGTTATTACAGTATTAATTACTACATTCCCTATGCTGTACCGTATATCCCCATGACTATTTTGTAACTACCAATTTGTACTTCTTTTTAATAAATCTTTATTGTTCAGATTATTACAGTTGTTCCTCTTTTTACCCCCATAGCTCCCCTCCACCTGGTTCCCACCCCACCCCCAGTCCCTATCCCTCCCCCCCCCCTCCCCCACC